ACTGTCTGCAAGCAGGCAATCGAGGAGGCTGCAAATTCCCAGGGGGCAGAGAGACAATTACTGTAGGTTGAAATCAGCCACCTGTGAAAGCCTGGGGAAACAAACAGTCACAGGAGAGAAACAAACAAACCATACAGTCAGTGTTTCTCACTTCACTTCTCACTTCTCTGAGTCCTCTTATTCTGCATTCTGCCATTAACATCTGAGGCCCTCAAGTATCCCCGTGCCTCAGATCGTGGTTTTGATCACTTTGTCTCTTGCAAACACTCGTGCACATGCTGTCTCCCAGGACAGGGGGGTCTGAAGAGTTCCTGGATGATGAGACAAAGATCAGCTAATTATGGTGCCTCAATGAGAAAAAGGCACCGTCCTTGCCATGGCCTCTTTCTTTATTCTATCTCTCTCTCTCGCTGTCGCTGTCTCAAATGAACTCCTTGTCCCTTCTTTGAAGGGCACCTAAAGTTTTAAATGCAATGCACTTTCATTGACGATAGGGAGTTATCTAGGCCAGGAGAATACATTTCTCTGAAAAGCATTTGTCAACTCCTGTGAGGAGAACTTGAGCTCTGAGACGGTCATGGTGACTTGCAAAGGTGGTAAATATTGTACATGCTCACATGTCTTTGGTACACGTATGCACACACACATTGATCAAGATGCACATGTACAGAATGCTTGAACACCCACATTAGACACACACACCCATACACACACACAGATGTCATGGCCTTTAGCTGTGGGACACGTCCCCCTCATATCGGTGACACTGGTAATCAAAAGTGTCAGCATTTTCCTGACATCTGCTCCCCAGCAGTGTGAGTATACAGTATACCCAGATACTTACTCTCTTGCTCATCATTCCCACCTGTCATACACACATTCAAATTGGATTGCTTGCGCAACTATTTGTCAACAAGAGATTGCTACATATTAGACTAAGGGCTTGTTAAAACTAACTAACTAACTAAAAGTACACAGATGATTGGACAAACATATTCCAGTTTATAGTGGTCAATCCATCTGTTCAACTTTCTCTCAGCCAATCAAGAGGCCACAGAGAGGTGTCCAGCCAGTAAGATTACTCCAGATCTGATTGGCTAGAATAGGCTGACATGACAAAGCCCTTGATGGCAGCTTTAAGCTGACCCAGCTTTGACTGGGGCTCTGTGGTTGACACCTACCCACCATCAGGCCCAAACACTCATTACCTATCAACTATGGCATGGATTAGGAGAGTTGGTCACTTTGTGTGTTGGGAAAGAGAGTAGAGAACAGGGGGGGCTGTAACTGTGTGTATGTTTTGGGAAAGTTGAATGGCAAGAGGAAGAAGGAGGAAGATGGAGGAGAGGAAGCTGTTATGTAAGAAGATGTAACCTGGCCTGTGAGATTTAGGGTGTGGCATTCGCAGGGTACAAGTGGACGACAAAATCTGGAGAATCCCGAAAGATTACAGGTTGTTTGACTAGAAAGCTTTGTTATGGCAGCATATAATTGAACCTATTCCTTCATATTAATGCAGTATCCGAAATATTTGAAGAAAACCTCTCAGCATTCATAAATGTGGTCTGTGTTTATGGGGTCATACTCATGACATGACAACTCCCACACATGACAAAGCACAGTAGGGCCTTTAGGGCTGTCAAAACAAAGGCAGGCCAATGAAAACACACAGACACACACACACGCAGACACACTTCTTACGCAGACACACTTCTTACACACACACACACACACCATCTCCCTTTTAATGGGCATGTCTTCTGGCTAAACTTTAGCAATCAGCTGGAGTGATTCTGAGTTGAAACAATAAAAGCTACAGTTTGTAAAGAAAACACACACACACACACACACAAAGTGCTTGTCGTTATAAGATTTATGGTATGGCTTGAATGACAGACAGATGGAAAGCTGTACAGAAAATAGTGGCCACATCATGAAAGAATTATCAAATAAACACATCAGATTAACAGCAGAGTTTTTAGCTTGCAGACAACTGGCTCTGCGGTGAACTGCATATGGTGCAATTGGATAGATACAGAACACACAAAAAGGAGCAGGAGAAGAAAGCTACCCCCCAAACAATTTCCCACCATTCGGCATGTGAATAACAGTACCAGTGGTATCAGCCAAAATCATACTCTAATTACTTTGTGCAGTATATGAGCCACTTGCTACTTCACATTCCACTCGAGGCACTCAGACAGCACAGAGACTGTCCTTAGAAGGCCTTGCAAATTGAGGGCTAGTGACATCATCATTTTCGGCACCTCCATACTCTATTTTCTATTGTTATTCCATTGTTATTTTCCATCTTGGCCTTTTCTGGACACTTGGAACACCTGATCATTCTCCAGACAGGCTCAGACATGAGGTAAGAAGGGAAAGATCTCAATAACGATGAAAAGGATAAATACCAGGAACACTATTCAAACACGCTTATTTCTATTCATGTAACCATGCTGCTTGTAAAACAACTGTAAGAGGGGCTTATCTCCAGCACTCTGTGAACACCTACATAGTCATCTGTTTAAAAAGGACTGGAATTTCATATCTTGGCCTTTTAGTACATAGAACACTATGTGACAATATTCTGTCCAGATCATATATAAGTTAAACATGACAGTAATCATTTCCAATTGTATGTCTGCAAATGAGAAATTTTCCATGAGCTAACCACTTCCATTCTCTATTACACGATTTGTTCACGTATGATATGAGTTCCATATTGGACGCCAAGACCAGTAGTGTTCTTACATCCATCATAAAACAGGACTTGGTCACATGGTGTCTCAGCAGCCCATTGTCTTATAAAACTAATTGTATGGTACCAACATTCCTGTAGCGCTAAAAACATCCAAAGCATGTCTCCCACCCTGTGGGATTGTGTTGGAGGTTTTGTGGAGGAAAAAAAATTGATCCGTTTCGGAAATGTTTAACTGTGAATGACACTGCAATTAAACAGAAAGAGGAAGGACCAGCTTTACAACTAGTGTACCGTTTGATTCAGTTGTGCGTAGTACAAAACCCTTTTGGCAGGCAGAATTAAACAGGCTTTGTATTTAGAGCAGAGGCTTGTTTAGCCGGAACTCTGACATCTGAACTGACCAGGCTCCCAAACAAAAAAATACACCCAGAAAATAAACACCAAACAAACAGACAAACAAAAACAAATGACTGTGTACAGATTGTTTCACTCTGCTGTAATCTCTTTAAGGGCTCCAGTAATTGTTTTGTTGTCCTGAGCAAGATCAGATAATGACTAAGCAGATCATCTTCCACCAAACTCTAAAGCCTGAGAAAAAGGCCTCTATACCCTCTTTTTCCTGTTTACCCTAACTGATCCTTCTCCACAATTCTGTTGCTGCCAAACCCACAGAAAGAGGGAAGAGGGGAGAAAGTGAAGCCATGCCCATTTTCTGAGTTGCACACTTGCCTGCACACCAGCTACCGCGACCCTGGGAAAAGGAGTAAAAACTTTTTTCACCAAGTACTGGACAAATAAATATTCTTTGCAAGCAAGAAAATAAACAGCTATGTTGTCTTTATTGCTGAATTTGGATTAAAATAAGGGGCATAAGTTCAGTTCCAGGTTAACATAAAGCTGGGTCAAGTTTTTAAATGAAATACTTTGCAAAAGCTAGCATTCTGGGGTATCAGTCCCATGCACTAAATTAGCCTTTTATCACCTCAGAAATATTGCTAAGTACCACCATTTCTCTCTCTGAGTGGCACTGACATATTAGAGCTGATTCAGACCTCTGCAGCCCCAGTGCTTACCAGGACCAGAGGAAGAGAACACATTACACCTGTTTTAAAGCTTACATTGGCTGGCTGTCATCTTCCGCATTGATTTAAATTTTTTTTATATATGTCACACATGCTCACAGTGTATGAGCTGGCGCGGCCCCTCAGATCCTCTTGCACCAGTCTGTTAGCAGTGCAGGACTAAAACCTTTGGTGAGGCAGCTTTTAGGTTTTATGCTCCGAGCCGCTGGAGAGGATCTGAAGAGCAGCTGGAAGTGTTAAAACTTTTAAAACGTAAACTTAAATTATACCTCTTCAGCCTGGCTTTTAACTAAGAATGGTTTATAGACTATCTAGTTTTTTATTCTTATTTTATTGTAAAATTGTATTGTTTTGTATTTTATCAGATATTTCATTTTTAACTTTATTTTTTTTATCCCTCACTGATTTTATTTGTGCTTTGTTTTGTCTATTCTTATTAATCAACGTCATCCAGTTTCTAGTCTAGCTTTTATTAAACTATTTTATTGTTATACTTGTTCAATCTATCCTGTTCAATCTATTTTATTATATGTTATTGTCTTTGAAATCAATTTCATCTAGTTTGTATTTCAAGACTTAAAACAAAGTTATCATGAGGAGAGTACTGCATACGCTCTGTAACCTATGACCTTTGGAAAACATTAGCACATCAGAGAACTCAGTGTGCATGATTCATTGCTGCTGTATTTGAAGTCTGTTCTTGGGATCTGTTTTGTATTTTATGATCATCATTCACTTAATGAGTTTGTTTTCCTCCCTCTTCAGTGATATTGTTTCCTTGCTTGGCTATGGAGTTTTGGAGAAAAAATACATTTGGTTGTCTGTCCCCATTACAGCTATTTTTCCTTTTAAAGCAGCGCCATGATACACTTGTGCGCTCATATGCTCGCGCTCCACAGTAATTTAAAGTGACTCTGATATCAGTGGCACTCGCAAAAGAATTCGCCGGCAACTACACAGAGGTTTGAGAAAAAAAAAGATATTTGTCATTATTTCTGTCATTTAAAAAATAGATTTTTCTGGCTTGGCTGAGGGTTCCCTGTTGGGCTGGTGGCCCGCCAGGCCTGTGGTAGGTATAGTATGTGCCAGATAACTAAATGACAACTCACCAACCACTGAATCTCAACATCTCTTACCAGTTCATTGACAATGACCCAGTGTGTCAGGCAAATCCCTTCCAACCCAAGCTTGGCACCGTTTGCCCCAGCACTTACCCTGGAAGGCATCCGAGTGGCCGGAGATGAGGTGCTCCAGCTCATAGCTGTAGGAGTGAATGTTGTGGAGGGTTTCCCTTTTTACAGCAAACTGGTAGCTCTCCTCCATCTTCCGGGTGCAGCAGGATGGACCCTGGTGCTTACAAACCAGCAGATCCACATCTAGGAAAGTCAAGTAGAAATGGACGCATGTTACTTCATTTATTTTATTTTTTCCAAATCAACCTTTAGCTTTTGTTCAATTTTAAAGTGGTAACACATAACAGTAAAGCATATCACAGGAATTGGGAGTGCAGAATAATTGAGGTATCTCAGTTTCGATGAAATAATTTATTCGTGAAAATGATACCAAGAATATGAATGTCCTCTATTCTGTGAGATATAGCCTATATGTGATTCTACACTGCGCTGGGCAAATATGTGTGAGTATATGTATAGTGTCCTGAGAATGCACATAGATAGACAGGCCATAACTCCACTGGGAGACAGAGGAGGCACCATGGGAGGGTGAGAAAGTAGACCAAGAATTCATCCACGTTTCCTGCTATAAATACCGTCTCTGCTAAATATATAAATATCTTTGACTCATACGCCTGCACACGTCGTCAAGACATACATTTGGACAGGCATGTACTGTCCAAATGTTGTCCTATAAAAAAAAAAACACACAAAAAAACACATGGGTTTACTAGCAATAATCAGCAATGCGAACATGCAGCATTTACTGTCGCACACACATGCACACGCACACATATACGATAATATGTATGAAATCACCTCTAGAACTAGACAGTCATTAGACATAATACTGCAGATCATTACAGCCACATGAAAGCAATGACCTAACTGCAAATACTATGATCCAAGGAACAGCTCAATCAGGCACAATTACATCAGCTGAAACGGAGTCCACCCCGCCGCCCTGCCAGTGTCACCTGCTTCTCACCATTGCTACACATATAGACACTGTCATGACATCACTGGGACTGGTCACAATTAGCACAGGCTATTAAAATTGTCCTTTCCCACACATTTCCTTGTCCAGGGACATTTCCATAATGCAGAAGTCTGATATGATAACTCATTTTAAAGGGGTGGGGGGTTGGACGGGGGTGGCTGGAGGCAGGTGTTGTAACCAGAGCCTAAAGCATGGCCTTAGGACAGACCGCAAGACCAGTGCCTCACTGTCCAAATCCCTCCATGAAACACAATAGGGTTGCATTCTCAATCCCTCTTTCCCTTTCTGCTCCCTCTCTCCCATTTGCCTGGCATATCCTAGTGAGGCCTGGGTGTCTCTTAATTACCCAGTGAGGCTCCATTTGTTCCCATCCCAGAGCCAGACGAGTGAAGTCATAACTGGCTGTCCTGCCCCTTCCAGCTCATTATCTCCATCTCTGTAGCAGTCCACTCTTTTTATGTCAACACTGTCTCCCTGTCGACACTGTTTCTGCACAGTCCTATCCTGTATTTCGGTAATTTACCCAGACCATGCATATAATCAATCTTAACAAAATTATAATAATGCTACACTTTTGTTTTTGGCTTACATCTACTACTTCCCAATGTACTTCCTAGCAGGCTTAATAGTGCTCATTTGATGAGTGCAATATAAATGAGACACCCAATCAGTTTCAACATACAAACAATTAGAAATCTTGCCAAAGCAGGACCTAAATGGTCAGAAAAGAGCAAATAAGGTATGTCAGCACTAATTTTAAAGACACAGGAACAAGTGAATACTACTGGCGGCTCATCCTTCAATTAAATGTCATCAAATCTTTGACGATCAAACATTGAATGACACCAACCTTTTGAAATGGATCTCTTTCGATATGGGAGTATTTTGTTGAGAGCAGAGCTCTCACACCCACCACAGCAACCAAAAGAAGCAATCCAAGAACATATTTCCACTACTTTTTATTGGCAAAGTGCAACTATGCAGCCATCCAACAACTCATATGCTTTAAACGTCCACCAACAACAAAAGATGCTCCAGTCTCTCAATAAATATAAATATCCACACAGAAGTGGGACCAAATCCTTGTGGATACTTTAAATAAGCTTATTCACGAAACACATTACCTATACAACAAGCTCAAACTGTTTTCTCAGCAGGACAGTGTTTATGTCCTAATATGAAACTGTTGGAGATACATTTTTCTTGACATTTACTGGAACCGTTAGCGGTAGAGCAAAATACTTGAATGAGTTTGCCTCCTGGAAAGCATACTGTAGGCCATGTGGGAAGGGTGTCCCTCTTATAAAATCTGCATTCCTTGTTGAAAGTTAATTAATTGTTTTAATTCAGTTTAATGTTGTCATTTGACCATATTTGGTGTCTGCCCTCTCTCCTGTTCTGTCCCTGACCCTGTTCTCCTCACTGGCTGGCTCTTTCTCTCCTTTGTGTTTGTGTGTTATCTGTGATATGAAACTAATATCCAGGGACTCACAGCGGAATCCAGCCTGGCCTCTCCATCCCTTGCGAGTAGCTGCATGGAGTAAGTGATACTCAGAAAGACTTTGGCTGTTAAAGCCACCACAGCAGTCAGGACAGGCTGACTGTGTCACGAATATACCAGGCCACTTTCTGGAATCATTAGAACTAATACTACTCATATGTCCAACGGCAAACATATTGCTGAAAATATTTTACATATATTATACTAACTAAAAGCATTTTACTGGCTTCTGCCTGAAGGGCTAACTAAAATATGTATTGAGGACTCAGGGAAGCAGTCTTTTAAGGACCCTAAGAGTCATTGAAGTCTGAAATGTAGGAACTATCTGTTCATTTCTGACTGCCTTGTTTTTGAGTAACATGTATTTTTTAACCATTTTTTACTCCATTTGTATACAGAGTACAGACCTGTAAAAGGCATTGATTTCTCCTTGAAGTTGAAATTCAAGCATTTGGTGTCATGGGGGTTTTAAAGGTTGTTTAAGATCAACCTAAAAACAAATATCCACATATTCCAAATATTTGTGAGCACCTTTGGCAACAGTAAAAGTTTTGAACATCTGGACACTGCAAAATCCTCCCATTATTCTTTGCAAAACAACTCAAGCGCTTAGAAATTGCTTGGGGACCATGACTCAACAACAATTTGAAAATTCTGCTCCAAATGTTCAATTGGACGGAAATTATGTTTTTAAGACATTCCTGCATAGGTTTGGCTTTAAGTTTGGGCTTGTTATCTTGCTGGAAGATAAGTAAAGATGTAATTTTAGTTAATTCCACTTTCTCTTTGCCACATAAAGCTCCCGGGCATAAAATGTTACTGTATGCACCGTCAACCCAATCACAGCAACGGAACCCTGTAGCTACGTCACACAGGGATCTTGGTGGCCTCACTCACTAGTGCCCTGCTCAGCAACTGTTTAACTATTACACCCTTCTAAGGGCAGCTGTGCCAGTGATGATTAAGCTGTGTCATTACTGTAAATACGTATGCAATAACAATTTTTTAAGGCATTACATAAGGCAAATGAAGCTCAGCGTAAGTTCAAGCAGGAAGCCCTTCTCATTATCCCCTCTTTATTCACAATTCTCTCACTCTCCTTTTTAATCAGCTATAGGAGTTTACTCTTTCAGTTAATCCAATCAGACTTAGCCTCAATCTCCTCCGGCCAATCATGCTGCTGCTGTCAAACTTTAAATCTGTCCTCCTCTCTGCTTCATTTCAGCGTGACCTCTTTTTCATTGTGCACATATCAATTAAATATAATTGTTCATTCTAAAATGTTGTGTTCTTAATATGTTGAAAATTCACAAGAACCGATAAATTGCATTGTCATGTCAACTCTAGAAACTAACCGGCCATGGATATAACAATGACAATGACAAATGTAGCTATTTGGCATGCAACATGATATGACTCACTCTTGTAGCATTTGTTATTGGGAGTTTCTAACAAATCAGTTTCTAACGAATTATAGATAGATAGATAGATA